TGGAAGGCCTGGTTCCCAGGTTTATTTGGGCCTAATGAAGGCTCCCTATAGTGTCTCATTACTATTATGTAATTCATTTGCTATTCTGGTCTGTAATAACTTTGTAATAACAGATTCTGGGGATATTTAGTAAAGCTGGGGGGGTTTTCTTATTTCCTTTTGCTAAACTGGGTGGAAATCCTGCCTATAGGATTTAGTTATGCTGTCAAATCTGTTCATTTGGTAAAAACTGTATGAGTTCTATACTCTGCTTAGAAATCATGCCTATAGGATTTTCATTGATGGTGTTAATTCTGTGGTTGCATATTAGAAGTCCTGCCTATAGGGTTAACATAAAAATGCATATTAGAAATCCTGCTCATAGGATCTATCAGTCCAACAAATGTGCATTAGGAATCATGCCTATAGGATTTCGATGTTTGATTTGATCGATTTTCTGGTAATCTGCATAATTTCTGTCCATACACAACTCGTAGAAATCATGCCTATAGGATGAAAATCAGTCTAGAAATCATGCCTATAGGATTTAAATCAATTCAGTAGTAGATACCATGCCTATAAGACTAAAACCAGTTTCAAACCTAGAAATCATGCCTATCGGACTTAAGTATGTACAATAGTTAGAGATCATGCCTATAGGATTAAAGGGGAATATAACCAATCTCTGTAATTTAAAGTCAGTGCTACACCTAAAAATCATGTCTATAGGTCTGTAATCATCAAACTCGTAGAAATCATGCCTATAGGATTCTATTATTTGATTCTAAATACAATCGCCCTTGGAAATCACTTAGGCAATATACCCGTAGGATTTAATAATTCTGGATTTATAATTGTGATGTATTACTGCCTGAACTGCCCATACTATGCTGAATAAAATCAGTAGGCAAACAACATGTTTTAACACTCGCCTTGATAATATTGCCTCTGCCCTCTGTTTTCTCGTATAGACTTCCTGCATATAGGACTTTAAAGTTAATAAGGTTTGCTGAATCAATTACGTGCATCTTGTTGTTTATGTGTGGAGGTCAACATGAGCCTATATTTACTTGCTATCTGAAAGTCCTAATTGTTTTTGCTTGCCGACTAGACTTTTACATTTTTTAGCAACGTAGGCTGGGTCTAGAACTATCCCAAATAGAGGTCCTAATACCTCCAGGGCCATAAGCAAGGGACGGGTAGTGCACGCATAGGGATCGAACTAGAATCAATTAGAGCGCTTTAAGTAACAACTTAAAGATGGTAATCAAGTAGCAGGAGATGATAGTCTGTGCCCGCTGAATAATATGAGTAACACCCCGACTCGAGGGAGTTACGAAGTATTATTTATGTTGCATAGGGTGATCCTTTAGGCTAAAAGAATTAGGACCCCCCATCCCTATTAAATATTCCTCTCGCTTCTTTATTAGACTAATTCATAATTTAAGTTCGGCCGGGACCCACCGTTGTGGACCTCGAGGGGTGCCTAACACCTTCCCCTCAAGGTAATTTTGAGCCCTTACCCGATCTCTGGTGATGTAAACTGGCAACATGAGTTATCTGCTCTAGGTGCCCTAACGCACCTTAATTCGTTAGGTGGCGACTCTTTCAATTCCAATTCCCTACCCTCTCAAAAAGGGAGTTGTCCCAGAAATGTCGAAACCCGATTTCGCGAGAAAAAGGGGGCGCGACAGCATGGCGACTCTGCTGGGGATATCTTTAGGCTTTTACCATAGCGAACTTGTTTGTGAATTAGTATTTAAGCATGTCTTTATTATTCCGTTAATACTTGCACACCCCTTCCCCTTCCCACTCTATATGAATTTACTTGCCTATCTTCATTCATTTATGATTTCTCTTCCCTGTTTTATCACTTTTTACTGTGGAAACTGACTTGTCTCTTTGTTTTTCTTTCTTAAATGTCTTTACAATTATTAAATACCGCATTTTATCATTACTCATCGTGCAAATACTTGACAACATGTTATTTTCTTTTGCATAAATACATGCTCAACATCATATTCCGCTCGTGCGTACTAATACTATAGCGGCGCTTGATGAGTGTTCGCGCTCTTCCTAAAATCACCCTTTAAATTTGGAAAGGATTATTTGCGGTAAAACTAGTCGACCAGCGATGCAGTCGACGGTTTCGTGCCTTTCCCTCTCAAGTTGTCCGCTTAAGGGTACCAGTCTAGACTTCTATAGAAACCTTACTCTGATAATAACTGTACATGCATCATGATTAAACCTTGCCTGGGTTAATATGTTGTCCGCATAATAACCCTCTAAGAAAACCTTGTCCAAAGTCCACCGGGATTTCCATAATCCTAACGGGCGCAACCATGATATATGCATTATTTGGAGAGATAAATGCCGACATGCTAATCATTAATGTGTAAGTAGTCGAATCCGGAGGGGGCAAGGGTCTAACACTGTTTATTTTGCAGAAAATGAGGCACGAAGTCCCCAGGTTCGGCATGGTTCGAAGCTGCTGGACATACGTGACCTGAGAAATCTGATTGATGGAGCCAAGAAGATCAAATATGGAGAAGGTCTCTCCGGGAGAAAGTAGAGTAGATTTAGCTGTTTTTTGAAACATTTTGGAATGTAATAAGGCAAATGCCATTAGTAACTCATTTATTTATCATCGTTTTTAGGTTCGTTTTCTTTATTACATTAATGAAATGAGGCATTTATCGGCATTAAATCTCTCTAAATCTATGTGTCGCTAAGCTTACCTCGGGCATAACGAGGTTACCCAAATTAGGACGCGAATTTATATTCCTGCAATACGTGTTTAAATACTGCAAATGCTTTTCAGAATCCTTACTGACTTGTTTACCTTTTTGCATTTTTCTTTATTTTGATTATTCCCATCCCCTAAGGTTGGTTCGCACATACTGGAATCGTCAACATATCACACCAGATTTAGAGGACCTCCACCTCCTCCTCCTCCAAGTAATCCGAAAGGCAAGGGAAAATCTAAGATGGATGATATGAGTGGTATCCGAAAAGACAATGCTGCACATGCTAAGAATATTGAAACTTCAGACGGTCGGATTACTCCGGCCCAGAACGATTTGGTCCTACGGTTGGAACAGAAAATACTGGAATTGCAAGGGGAACTTAAGCTGGTCCGCAACTTGGAAAACCTCTCCCTCACCCTAAACGTCCCAGATCTTAACCAGAAAAATGCCCAAAACCCAGCACCTCCTCAAAACATACCAAACCAACGTCCACAAAATCCTCCCACACCCCATCAATACGCAACACCTCCCAGAATCCTAAACCTCCGCCCGTACCTACACCTCCTCAACACCAGCATCTCCCGACTCAATACCCACAAACCACTTACCATACTCCTCAGAATACCCCACAACCTATCCATGATCCGCAAAATTCAACTAATGATCACCATTGCACTCCAACCCCCGGCACCCACCAAAACAATCCCATATACATGGAAACCTTACTCCACTCTACCCAGCCAATCTCATACACTCTAGAATCCGCCGAGAAGGTCCTACTCATTAAGAACATGGCGGAAGAGCTCATGAAGCTCACAAGCCGAGTCCAGGGTGTTGAAGAAGGCAAATGAATTGAGGGTCTGAATTACGAGGATCTATGCATTCAGCTAGACGTGGAACTGCCGGAAGGTTACAAACCTCCCAAGTTTGAGATGTTTGACGGAACGGGTGACCCAAAGGTACATTTGAGGACATACTGTGATAAGCTCGTGGGAGTGGGGAAAGATGAAAGAATTCACATGAAACTATTCATGAGGAGTCTCACTTTAGACGCCCTATCTTGGTATATCAGTCAGAATCCCAAGAAGTGGGTTAATTGGGTAAGCATGGCATCAGACTTCATGGACCGATTCAGGTTTAATACAGAGAATGCACCAGACGTCTTCTACATACAGAACCTCAAGAAGAAACCAACAGAAACTTTCTGCGAGTATGCTACTCGATGGAGGTCAGAAGCTGCAAAGGTCAGGCCGGCACTAGAGGAAGAGCAGATGAACAAATTTTTCGTCAGGGCCCAGGATCCACAATACTATAAAAGGTTAATGGTCATCGAAAATCACAAGTTCTCCGACATCATCAAACTCGGGGAAAGGAATGAAGAAGGGGTCAAGAGTGAGATGGTAACCAATTTTGAAGCATTGCAGACTACGAACCATTACAGTCAGGGGGCATATCAAAGAAGAAAGAAGTAGGGGAAGTGATGGTGGCCCAAGGTCCAAAATCTCCACTCACATACCAAACACCTCCACCCACATACCAACCTTCACCTCCCAGATATTCTCAACCCGCTACCGCCTATCACACTTATAACACCCAGCCAGCCTATTACCATTCACCTCTAACTAGTCAAAACTATCAAAAACCCAAACCCAATTTTGATCGCAGGCCGCCCAGACAATACACCCCTATTGCTGAGCCCATTGACCAGCTATATGAAAGACTGAAGGCTGCCGAATATGTCACTCCCATTCCCGTTGTCGCCATGGAACCCGAATAAAACATGTGCGTACCATTCTGGCATGAAAGGGCATGCTATTGATGAATGTCGCACTCTGAAAGACAAGATTCAAACCCTGATTGATACCAAAGTCATACAAGCAAAGGAAGACGCACCAAACGTCTGCAACAATCCCATTCCCAGATCATAGGGGGTGAAGGAGTAAATGTGATAGAAACTGATGAAGAATAGGATCCTGAAGGGTTGATTGGGCTTATTCGGGAAGGTGATGACCCTAAACCTGCAGTCACACTCACTCCTATTTGGTACAGATACAACCAGTGTTAAAAATAGCGTGAAACGAGGAAAAGAGACAACCCCTATTTCACGAAAAGCGAGAAGCAAGAAGCGAAGCGCCCGCTTTTTTTAAGTGAAGTGGAATTTAAAAAAAATTAAAATCAATACGGCATAGACAACACATGTAATTGTAAGCAAATGTTCAGTACTTCAATTAAAAAACTAAAGAGTAGCATCAATTAAAGCACAAAATGAGCATCCTATTCTTCTACAAGATTGTCAAATTCTTGTATTCCACTATCATTATTATGTTGCTCGTCATCTTCTTCAACTTCATCTTCTTCCTCAACTAGGGACAAAGTAGCTGCCTGTTTTCCCTTCCTCTGTGAACTTGAAGTTGAGGTACTCCCCCTCAAACCATAAATCCTCTCCCCAATTCCACGCGCCTCCGCAACATCACCCCAAGTGAAATCAGAAGTATCCTCAAATACTTCTTCATCTGCATGATCTTTCGGGACTCCAGTTAGCCATTCATTAGCATCGTCGATGTTGTCCAAACTAATTGGATCAATTACATTGCGAGCGTTGTAACGACGCCTCAATGTTCTATTGTACTTAATGAAGACTAGATCATTGAGACGCTTCAAGGTTAGTTTGTTCCTCTTTTTTGTATGAATCTACAAATAATAAGTAATTAGTAAGATTAAGACAATTGAGATATAATTTAATTATCTTAATATACTAAATCTTTCTTATTAGTTCTTATATGCTCAAACACGCTCCAATTCCTTTCACACCCGGATGAGCTACATATTAGACTTAGAACCTTGATGGCAAACTTTTGTAAATCTGGAGTGGAATGACCATATTGCTTCCACCATTCAACTGTAGAAGTAGAACGAATTTTCAAAACATAATATTGATAAAGAAATAACTTATTAACTATAAAACATATAAGCACTCGCTCACCTGGTGACTTCGTCTTTCTTTGTCTAATGGCCATGTTTTTTCCAAAAAGTTGCTCAGAATTCCTATAAATACTAAATTGCTCTGTGATTTTATCTTGCACGGATTCTTCAGGTATCAACTTCTCAATACATTCATAGTATCCATTCCACAAAGGTTCATCTCCTAGAATCCTCTCTTCATTGTCATAAAACAGTTCTGGGTTCAAAACAAGTCCAGCTGCATGCAAAGGGCTATGAAGCTTACTATCCCACCTTTTATCTATGATCTCAAAAACTCTTTTGTATTTTCTTTGATCACTAAAAGAGGCTTGAATAGCCTCCTTTGCCCTATCAATTGCTTCGTACAGGTAGCCCATTGGTGGCCTTTGCTCCCCATCCACCAAACGAAGCACTTTAACTAAAGGACCACCAATCTTCAATGCATGAACCACATTGTTCCAGAATGAAGGAGAAAGTATAATATCTGCTGATTCTCTCCCTCGAGCTTCCCTTCCATAGGCACTGCTAGTGTACTCATCTGAAACAAATAACTTCTTCAAATTGCTTTTTTGCTCATACATCCTAGCCAAAGTCAAGAAAGCAGTAGCAAATCTTGTCTTTGCAGGGTTCACCAAGCTTCTTTGTTTAGTGAATCTCTTCATCATGTTCAATTACAAAGGCCTTTGAACAATATATGAATGCACTCTAATTGCCTGATTAAAGATAGTACTGAAGGGTCTTTCCTTGAAAATATCACCGAAGATCAAATTAACAGAATGTGCTGCACACGGAGTCCAATAGATATGCGGGTAGCAAGCAGACATCATATCACCAGCTTTAACATTTTCACTAGCGTTGTCCGTGACAACTTGAACAACATTTTCTGCTCCAATAGAGTCTATTGTAATCTTGAACACGGAGTACATTTTGGTTGAATCAGTCGAAGAGTCACTTGCATCAAAGGAATAAAGAACAGGCTTCCCTTAGGAGAATTCACCAAGATACTGATGATCATTTTTCCATTTCTCGCTGTCCACTTATCCATCATAGTGGAACAACCAAACTTGTTCCATTCTACTTTGTGCTCCTCCACGATTTTGTTCACCTCTACCACCTATTTTTTTAGATATGGCCCACTAACTTCATAATAAGTTGGAGGCCTCATTCCTGGGCCATATTGTCCTACGGCTTCAATAAAAGCAGCAAATTTGCCAGTATAATTAACACAATTAAAAGGAAGACCTGCATCATACATCCACCGGGCAAAAAAGGTAAATGCACGGTCCCTCAAAATTGCTTTTGCATCAACTTGAGGATTACCACTTTTTCCTCCCTTATCTCCAGATTTTTGCGGGAAGTAACAATCCATAGGACCTTTGGTCTTGCCAGTAGATCCAAAACTAGAATACATTGGTGGAAGCATCCTTCCCCGCTTTTGTGATTTTGGTGGAAGCGACGAAGCATCGTCACCTTCTCCTGTTTCATCATCATCATCCTCAAGATTATAAAGTTCTTGTTCATGAATCATTTGAGTCTTTAACTCTTTCTTTTTTTGAAGGTATGCTTTCAATTCTTCCTTCACATGCCCCGGAACTTTAGGACAAGTTGCGACATTTGGATCACCACCGATTTGATGCGCTTTTTGACGATAGATTCCTCCATTTGTAATCTTATCACAAAAAAGACATCTAATGGCCATCTTGTTGGTTTCATTAACTCTTGCAGAGTAAGCCCAAGCCGGGTCTTTCCTATCTTCTTTTGGCGACATTAAAAGAACAACTACATAACACATAAGAAAAGCCATAAGAACTAAGAATAAAAGACAAAATAATTGGGCAGAAACTGGGCAGAAACTTGGCAAATTTTTTTTTAAAAAAATTCGCCAGCATTTCGGCGCTTTTTGGACGTTTAGAAAGAAGAAGAAGAAGAAGAAGAAGAATGAAAATAAATTTGGAAAACATACCTGTTGAAACTAAGTTGCTGTTGTACTGTTGAAGTCTTGAAGAAGAAGAAGAAAAACCCTAGTTTGCTTGAACAAGTCGCTGCTTGAAGTGAGGAAGAATTGCTGGTTTGAAGAACCCTAGTTTGCTGCTGAAGAAGTGCTAAAAAAGAAACAACGATTTGGGTCTTTTAACTGAAAAAAGACTTTGGGTCTTTTAACTGAAAAATTGTCTGCTTCGATCGCTTCTGGGCGCTTCACCGCTTCTCGCTTTTTAGAGAGAAGCGGTCGCTTATGCATACCTGAGCTGCTTTTAATGGCAGTAGCGATACCCCTCCCGCTCCGCTTCGCTTCTCGCTTAAAGCGAGGAAGCGCCCGCTTTTTTTAACACTGGATACAGCCACCGGTCGAAGTTGAAGTAGCCATATCAGTCCCGTTTGAAATTGAAGTAACAACACCTGCGGCCACACCTACTCCATTTGAAGTAGAAGTAGACACACCATTCACTGTGACGGTAGCATCTACACCACCATTAAATTCCAATGCCATATCCTAGGATTATGTTGTCGAAGCTAGGAGAAAAGGAAAAGCAAAAATGGAAGAGTCTGGTGCTGCACAGGGTATGACCAAACCTGGAAGGATCTATACACTCGAAAATTTGGGAGGAACAAGCAAGGAAGCTGATACCAAACAACCCGTCATTGAAACTGGTCCAGATGATCTCTAGAGGAAAGTACATGCTAGAGAATACTCTGTCGTTGACCATCTGAACAAGACTCCCGCCCAAATATCCATCTTGTCGCTGCTGCAAAATTCTGAGACACATAGGAATGCTCTGATGAAGGTGTTGAATGAAGCTTATGTGCCTAACAACATCACCAGTGGAGAGATGGCCAACATGGTAGGGCAAGTACTAGAAAGCCATAAGATCACCTTTCAGGAAGATGAACAACCACCTGAAGGATTAAGTCACAACAGGGCACTGCACATAACGGTATAATTTGAGGACAAATTCATCACCAGAGTCTTAATAGATGGGGGTTCAAGCCTCAACATTTGTCCGTTGACCACTCTAAAAAGGTTGGGTAAATATTTCCATGAGATACGAGCCGGGAGTATGAATGTGAAGGCATTTGATGGGTCTCAAAGGGCCACAATTGGAGAAATCAACCTGTTTGCAAATGGGCCCGACTTGGTTCGATGTTGAGTTTCAAGTATTGGACATATCTGCTACGTACAATCTTTTATTAGGACGACCTTGGATACACGCTGCTGGAGCTGTAGCTTCTACACTACACCAGGTTGTGAAGTTCGAATGGAACCATCAAGAGGTGATCATTCACGGAGACGGAAGTAATCCCATTTACGCTAGTCAGACTGTCCCGGTTGTCGAGAATAGAAGAAAGTTAGGTGGAGAAACTTATCACCGCATCGAGCGTGTCAATGCAATTGAGAAAGATAAATGGTGGAGTGGCAAAATAGAAGGCATACTGGCGTGGTCAGGGTATGAGCCCGGAAAGGGCTTGGGAAGAAACTCTAGGGCATTACCAAACCGATACAGTTGAAACGTCATGGCACAACTTTTGGGCTCGGATATCAGTATACATGGCAAGAATATGATGATTGGTCGCCCCCATGGCGTGGTCCCTATTACCCGCTTGAGCAGCTAGTGCCGCATCTAAGTCAGACCTTTCACCAGGCCGATACAATATGGGGATCTGCAGAGGAGGAAGCTTTGGCTGGGCTAAGGAACCTGTTTCTAGAAGACGAAGATATGGATTGCAATGTGATAGTTGAGGAGGAGGAGGAAGAAGACCTCACCATTCCGACCATGGAGAAAGGAGCTGTTCTCAAGAATTGGACTGCTGCACCATCCCGGGCCCGTCGAGTTCCTGGGTAGCCTGGCAATTAGCATGATCTGTTTTAAAAGCCATTTTTAGCATTTAAGATATTTCTATATTTTGTTTTAAGACGCATTTTATTTTGAAATAATTGCTCGAGTCATCGAGCCGTACCTGTTTTGATGTCTTCAAAAGTTAATTAATGCATTGTTATTTTAGTATTTATTATTATCTTTTACATTTTCCCTCTACATCATTACTATTTCTTACCTTGATAAACCAACGACTGTGACATGTAATGAGACAATGCAACATAAGGATGGTGACTCGGAAGAAGAAGATGAGATACCCGAGGAAGTTATCAGAGAAGTTGAGAATTTTGAGAACAAACCTAAGTCCAACCTGGACGAAACCGAGGCAATCAATTTGGGAGATTCTGAAACCATCAAAGAGACTCGCATAAGTATTCACCTGTCACCATCAGAGAAAGAAGAGTACACCCATTTCATGAAAGAGTATGAAGATATTTTTGCATGGTCATATGACGACATGACTGGATTGAGCACATCCATAGTGGCTCATAAGTTGCCTATCAATCCAAAGTGTCCGCCGGTGAAGCAGAAACTCAGAAAGTTCAAACTGGACATGAGCTTAAAAATCAAGAAGGAAGTCACTAAGCAGATCAAAGCCAAAGTCCTCAGGGTAGTTGAGTACCCAACCTGGTTAGCCAACATCGTACCGGTTCCGAAGAAAGATGGGAAAGTTAGGATATGTGTTGACTATCGGGATTTAAACGGAGCAAGTGTCGATGCCCCCTTTTTTCTCGCGAAATCGGGTTTATGACATTTGGGAGGACAACTCGTTTCCTTTTAGGAATTGTGTTTGAATTGAAGAGTCGCCACCTAATGATTAAGTGCATTAGGACACTAAGGAGAATTTTGATTTAGAAAACCAGAGATTGGGTAAGGGCTCGAAATTATCTCGAGGGGAAGGTGTTAGGCTCCTCTCGAGATCCACTAGTGTGGTTCCCGACCATACTATAATTATGACTTTAAGTACAAACAACAAATAGACAAATATGAGTTACAAATATGAGGGGGGAGGGGTTTTCACATAATTGTTGCAAGTAATTGCAGTTAAAAGCAGTCGAAGAAGCTGGAACTTAAGAACAAAAAAAGCAGTTTTGAAATAAAATAAACGAGTAAAGGGAAGAGGGTCCTAGGTTTATAAATAATATGGATCACCCCACACAACACCCGGTAACCGTTTATACACGTGGTGTTATCGCCTGGTCATCATGTCCATATCTACCCTTTCCCACCCCATTAAGTTATTAAACGCGGAATGGTCTCGTTTTACTTATTGCATGCTATTACCCGCCCCAATCCTATCAGTCCCGGAGGTATTTGGGACTACTAATCCTAAAGGGAAGGGGTGTGAGGTTTTATAATTTCAAAGGACAAAATTCTAAGGCGACAATCAAAACACATATATAGCAAATTTGGGGAGAAGCACATAACATATAGAAAGGCTCAAACAGACCTCCTTAAAACGAAGAGAAGCATATATTTTAGCATGTCTTACACGTACTGATTAGGGTTTGATTTAATCTTAAGAGTTGTGGTAGACTGATCTATTACATATTCAGATAAGAAGACCGAATCAGGCCTGCCTGCTGGTTGTAGTTAATAAAATCTGATTCAATTTATAAGTTTACCTTATGGCTTGCCTAAGTGTTAAACGAAAACCTATAGGCATGATATCTATTAATTTCAGAAAAAGAAGTATGCTGATTTAGGAAAAGAAGTTGTCAATTACAGGAATATAAATTCTGCAGTCGTTATTGTTGCTACTGATTTTAGACTCACAAGCGAATGGACGATTC